TATGTACATTGTTTTTTTAGACATAATGCTATTGCACACTTAATAGACTACAGTATAGTGTAAACATAACTTTTATATGCGCTGGGAAACCAAAAAATTCATGTGACTCGCTTTATTGCGATATTCGCTTTATTGCAGTGGTCTGGAACCGAACCCGCAATATCTCCGAGGTATGCCTGTATAGGGAAAAGTGGCCCCTTACGCCCTTGTTAGATATTAAGTTTATCATGTGATTGTGTCAGTCATGACATAAATTGCAACATGTTACACATTTGCGGGGTTTATGGTGCAATAAAATGGCAAACAAACTGCAAAGCTCCCCGCATTTGAACATCTAGCGTGCAGCGTCAGCCTATACAGCATGGCTTTAAATGTCTCCACAGGGAGAGCCTGTGGCCTCCCCCCATGCACAGAGACATTTTTAAAGCCACTCAGTGGAGCCTGATGTTGGGGCCATGGTAAAGGCAGCTGGGAACCTGGGCTCCTTAATGGCATATGTGCAGCTGGGCAATGAGAGAGCTCCAGGGCAGGGAAAACATACAGCTGGACATCAGGGAGCTTCCCAGTCCCTAGCTGTACACTTCCACCAGGACCCAGGACTCCATTACCTGATCCCACAGGGTCAGTGCTGGGTGCCAGGTCCAGCACCTGGGTATCTCTTCTACCTGATCCACCATGGCAGCTCTGTGACCCAGGACCTGGGGCTGCATCTGCCCTTTAAAAGGCACACTGTTGCCTGGCATTTTCCAAGAGCCTTAGAGGCTAACTGGTTTAGAGTGAGGCAATAACCTGCTTGGTCAGATTAAAGTGATACATATAAACAAATTTGCTGACATTAAAGTGGGGGGAGTAGCATATATTAAGGTGAAAACCATCTCTTGCCAACTGTGGATACTAGATAAATAATATATTGGTAGATGCATTTAAATGTTGGACATGTCATGTTAGCAGTGTTGATTATCAGTAAGGATTTACCTTATTTTTTCCCCCCCCAGATGGCTGTTGATCAGGCTCACAGACAGAATTTCTCATCTCTTTTTCTCCCAGTATATGAATCTGTCAATCCATGTCTAATATTAATGGTACGCAGAGACAATATTGTAGGAGATGCTGTGGAAGTCCTAAGGAAAACAAAGAATCTAGATTACAAGAAACCACTCAAGGTATCAATTTACTCTGCTTAAAGTCTGTTTATTCAATGCTAATTAGCTTTATTTTTTTAATGTGTGCTGTGTTTTAGTGTGTGTTTAGTTGAAATGTGCTCTGCATTCCTTTTATTATATTCTGTGCTAACTGAAGTGCCCATTTCAGGTTATTTTTGTAGGAGAAGAAGCTGTTGATGCAGGAGGTGTTCGCAAAGAATTTTTTTTGCTCATCATGAGAGAGTTACTAGATCCCAAGTATGGAATGTTCAGGTATTATGAAGAGTCCAGGCTGATCTGGTTCTCTGATAAGGTATGATTTTTAGGTCACAGTGAATAACTGCCGTTCCGATTTTAAAATGGAATATAATGATAGCAGATTCTTAAGAAAATATTTGCGGTAGATGAACAGAAAAATTGTTGCAAAGAAGGTTCCCCGTTCACATATCTGCACTCCCCATTTATTTCCAAGTCAGATTTCATCCCCCCCCCCCCCCGGGGGGAAAAAAAAAAAAAAATTTTTTAAAAAAAGGGTCCCCGTTCCCAAATTCGCCCCCCCCCTTTTTTTCCCAAGCAAATTTTCCCCCCCCCCCCCCGAGAGGGCAATAACCAAAAATGCCAGAAAAAGCAACAGAGGCAAGGGTTTGGTATGTTGTGTTTTTGGACCAACTGTATAGTTGGAGGAGAATTTTGGCAAGCTTTCAGGAGTCTGTATCCAAAAACTTGTCAAATCTCTCTTAAATGTACAGGTAGTCTAATAAAAGATACCACAAAAAAGCCCAACCTTGTGTCTCGTTCATTTCCTGGAGCATCAGATCTGCAACTCTTCAGCTGTACTAGAAACAAGTAAGATCGTACAAAGAGCCCAAACTGTTTTACAAAGCAAGATGCTGGAAAAAAAAGTAGCAACATATCAGGTGGTTCTTTTATCCTTATGAAGTCATGTGTATAGGCTTTTGTAGCAGTGAATAAATTGTGGGCTGGAAGTTAGGAGACCTAGTTCTGGTTCCTGCTTTGCCGTTAATTCATAAAGTAACACCGAGTATCTAGTGCCTGACTTTTTTCAGTTTTTCACTAATTTTTGATGCCTTTGTTTTGGGGTATCTTAAGGTGAGCTGAACAACAGCCAGACTTCTTTGTTGGTAGGTCTAGAAAGGTCAGCAGTGGATCCAGCTTTTTTTTTGGTGACAATTTCCTGTAATGAACCTAAATGTTAAATGATTAAATAGTGAAATATTGATTGTTAACAAAAGTTAGTAACGTAATGATGTATTGTAACTTTTGTCTTATTTCTGTAAGCATAAGACTTTTTTTTCTAATATTCCTCTCCTCTATTCTTTGTAGACATTTGAAGACAGTGATTTGTTCCACTTGATTGGTGTTGTTTGTGGGCTAGCAATATATAACTTTACCATTATAGACCTTCATTTCCCTTTGGCTTTGTACAAGAAGCTGTTGAATAAGAAGCCTTCTCTGGATGATTTAAAAGAGTTAATGCCTGATGTTGGCAGGTGAGAAGATAACAACTGAATGAAAAAGAGCACTGTGTCATTTTTATTTTAATATACTGTATAGTTTTGTGTAATGGTATAAGGGAACAAATAACTATCTAAGTAAAAGGACAAAATCCCTCAAACTAGCACTCTTCGGCTACTAGAAAAATTGAGATTAAATTTACCCTATTTTTAAACTTCTATTTTCAGTTGTTTACTTTTGTGGTTACATTTTTCTAGTTTTAAACTATCTGAATTGTATAGGTAAAAATTAATTGAGGTTCATATATGAATTTTATAGATATACTTTGAATACAAGTATAGGGCAACTTAGTTAGTTAGAGGACATGCTGTGTAGTTTATTTCCAAATCAAATACATTCAGTTGTTATGAATTTACCCATTTTTTAACTTGCCTGGGTCACTGAGAGTAGTGTTAGGAATATCTCTGCTTCCTGTCTTTTTCAAAACAAGGACCTTCAGGAGGGGGGAAAAAACCTTTCTATATTCAGCTTTTTGGCTTTTAATTTCATGTGCATTTCCCCTCATCTTTGTTAAATCACACCATATATCCCCCAAATAAAATGAATTATTATAGTCTTGGCACAAATGAAACCCTCCTTGGAGGATTCAGAGATGGTTGATGGGCTATTACTTAGTTTTTACCTCAGTTAAACACTTTTGTGTTTTCTTCCACATTCTTCTCTGCTCCTGTTCATTATCTCTGCAAGGCAATATAACAAAGTTAAACTGTGCTTTGGCCTGTAGTTATGTTACCATCCATCAGCCAGAGAAATAAGTGCAGTCTTTTGTTATGTGTAGGTGGTTTTTCTTTTGTATGGCTGACTTGCAGCAACAATTGTACATAGGTGTAAAGCCAGACTGACAGGGATGTGGCAAAGCTAGAAAAAATATTTTAAGATATGTTTATATACAACATATATAACAATATGAGGAATCAAAATAAAACACCATAAATACTGTTACCAGGACTGGATAAATCATGGCTTATCACTATTTAGTTTCCTGATTTATTTTTATTTTTATTTATTATTTATTTATTTATTTATTTATTTATTTTTAATGCTGAGCACTTCAGCTTCCATTCAAGTCAGTTGTCCTCCAAAGCCCTCATCAAATGAGCTTTAGTTCAAGCATCTCTGCTGCCATTTTTAAGTAGTGGGATGCTGATCCCCTGGACGAGCTGCGAGCGGCTTTGTCCCGCTCCCTGCTGCAGTCCCAGGGTCCCATTTGCTGCCCTGGCTGGACAGCATCCCAGCCCCTGCCTCACTCCCTCCCTCACCATGGGGACCTTGATCTGCTCCCCCCCCATGCCCTTTTTCTTCCCCACACACCTGCCCTTCCACAGACATACCTGCAGGGAGCTGCCCTCCATGCTGTTCAGCTGCATTCCTGTAAATCGGTTACCAGATCAGTATCCGCTGATATGGCTGGTTAATAATCTGCTATCGGTATCAGCCAAGAAAATCTTTATTGGTGCACCCCTACTTCTCCCCAGGTAATCCTGTCTCTTTGCACTTTGGACTCTTCTGTTCATTTTTACCTCAGAAGAACCTCTCAACTTGCACCTTGCTTCCAGAGTAGACAGTTGGAAAGAATTGTTGACCCAGAGAGAAAAAACAAGAAACTGTTTCTAGTACAACTTTGTTGCATTGTAATTTAAATGACCTGTTTATCACTAGTGGGTTTCCCAGCAACATACTTCTAAATGCAAGTCGTCCAACTGAGGGAATTCTGAGAGCACGCTCAAAAGATAACTGGTAGAGCTGTAGAAAGATGTTCTACAGAAACCTAAGTGACATGTTTAACCTTTCAAACATTGAGCTGAAGACTACATACATTGTTTGGCAGGAGTATGCAGCAGTTACTGGACTATCCAGAGGATGACATAGAAGAAACATTTTGTCTCAACTTTACAGTAAGTGCTTGATTTTCTTTGAAGTATTTTACATGCAGTTTTAACAAGTAACTGCCTCTGACAGAGTATATGTTAGCAGAAACATAACTTGCTCTCCTCTTAAAAACTTGTCTTCACATGATATTCTCTGTTAAAGTTAGTAAGTTGCTGTTTTGGGCTAAGTTAACGGCAGAGGCCTATTTTAGAACAATAACTTAAGCTTACTCTGAATTCTGTTTTAAACAGATCACTGTGGAAAATTTTGGAACAACAGAAATTAAGGAGCTTGTTCCGAATGGTGCTGACATTCCTGTAGTCAAACAAAATAGGTAAGTGAATTCTGACAGTGGAGGCGCGGCAGTCATTGAGCACCCTCCTGCTCCTGCTTCATCTCCTGCATATTGCTTTAAATAATTTTCACTTACTCTGAAGGAACCTGCCCTGCACACCATATAGACTGCCATGAGAAAACAATGTAATTTTTTTGTTTGTTTTTTTGCTGTTTGAAGTATAGAATTTTAACTTGGAAGTTGCTAGACCACATCTTCACCATGTTCTCCATTTTACGGACTTAAGTAGTTTGTTACATTCATCTCATTAGGGAAGGTAACTTTTAACTTTGGAGAGACTGTAGACTGCTTAACTTGAATGTTCTTGCCAGGGAGAATGTACTCAGTTGCAGAGACAGCTTCCACCTAGATGCAGTTTTTCTCACTATGGGAACTGCAGTTGGGGATCAGTTTTTCTCTCTGCAGAGAAGGTGAATGAGTTTGATAATAAGGATCTTAAAGCATGTGAGGGTTGATCTTTTTTAAATTTTTTTGTCATGGATTTTACTGCATTTAAAAACTAACATTTTTTTTTTTGAAATGATCCCTCTGCCTATCAGATAGGGAGCTGCACCTCCCACCCTATTATGAAGGGCTTTAATTTGCTTTCTTTTAGTTTTCTCTTTCTTCCCTCTGTTCCTTTCTTTCCTTGACATGCATTTATTTTATTTATTGATTGAGCACTTCCTTCATTCTCTTATTTGTTTTTCAAAACAAGCTACCCAGGCTTCCCTTCCTGGCTGAGCCCAGGTGGAGCATAGGGCATATCATTTGATACCAGAACTCAGTCATTTAGAACTGAGTTGTGTAAGAGGAAGAAATGCTTGGTTTGGGATACATGGGAGTTTTTCCTGCATCTGCATCGTTAGAAGGAAACAAAAAAAACTGAGGGAGCTGTCTACTTTTTCAGTTGTGACAGTCTGTGTTGAGAGTGCCTCACAGCAGAGCAGCTTGCTCTAAGTAGTCTGGAGACCCCTATTTGGAAGTGGGAGAATTGTCTCTAACTTCCACAGATATGAAGGAACCTATTTGAGTAAAGTCCTGCACCAAAATTTTCTTGTTTTGTGATCCTTTTACCCTCAAATCCAACGGCGCCTCTTGGGGTAACTAGGAACAATAGTCACAAACTGATGGAGAGCAAATTTAGGCTAGACATCAGGAAATACTTCTTCATGGTAAGGGTGGTCAAAATTTGGAATGGGCTTCCAAGGGAGGTGGTGCTCTCCCCTACTTTGGAGGTCTCTAAGAGAAGGCTGGATGGTGCTCTCCCCTACTTTGGAGGTCATCTGACCCCAGCACTCTTTCCTGCCTAGGCCGGGGGTCAGACTGACCTGTTGAGGTCCCTTCTGACCCTAGCATTTATGAATCTATGAACTAATATTCATAGATTCATAAATCTATGAACATTAGATTTCAAAAACATGGATTTCAAGTGGCTCAAGGAGAATAGTAGGTAAGATGTCATGGGTGAAGAATAAAGGCACCCAGGAGGGCTGGAATCTTTTAAAGGGCACAGTATGGGAACCCCAACAAGTAATAGTTCTAACATGATGGGAACATGAGACTGGTAAGAGAGCAGTATTGGGAACAAGGAGCTTCTAGAATGTCTCAACTGCAAGAGGAAAGCATGCAGGCAATGGAAAGATGGGCAGGTCACCAAGGAAGCTTACTAGGAAATAGCCAGAATCTACAGAGGCAAAATCAGGAAAGCAAAGGTAAAATTAGCTTAATCTGGTGAGGGAAATTAAAGATAACAAGAAGAGGTTCTGTAAAAAATGAAAGGAAGACCCAGCTCTGCTCTTAAATAGCCAGTGCAACCTCTTAAAAGAAGTTGCAAAAATTGTGAGCTACTTAACAGCTCCTTTGCCTCAGTATTCACAAAAAAATTGATCTGTAACCAGACAGCTAATAAATATTATTTGGATAAAGACAAGTTTAGGATTGATAACAAAATAATCAGTGAGCTTTTGATGCATGCTTTCCTCTTGCAGTTGAGACATCTCCTCTGCCAGTTCTTCAGGTCCTGCTGACTTGAATTCATTCAGACTCATCAAAAGCTCCAAAGTAATTTTCCAGGTATTGAGGTAAGGCCAACCAGTCTATAGTTCCCCAGGTCCCCCCTCTATTCCTTTTTTAAGGAGGGACTGTCGGCCCTTTGCTCGTCCTCTGGTACCATACCCATCTCCCAAAATCTTGGAAATATTATTGCCAAGGACTCGGAGATCTCCTCTGCCAGTTCTTCAGGTCCTGCTGACTTGAATTCATTCAGACTCATCAAAGCTCACTGCTCAAAACTATTACTTGTTGGGGTTCCCATACTGTTCCCTTTAGAAGATTCCAGCCCTCCTGGGTGCCTTTATTCTTCACCCATGACATCTTGCCTACTATCTCCTTGAGCCACTTGAAATCCATGTTTTTGAAATCTAATGTTCATAGATTCATAAATCTATGAATGTTAGTTCATAAATGCTAGGGTCAGAAGGGACCTCAACAGGTCATTGAGTCCGACCCCCTGCCTAGGCAGGAAAGAGTGCTGGGGTCAGATGACCTCCAAAGTAATTTTCCAGGAGCATAATCTAAGGAGTTCATTTGCAAACATCTGGAGGAGGAAAGACTGATCACAAGCAGCGAGCATGGATTTACTATGAATAAATTATGCCAAGCAAATTTGCTTTCCTTCTACAACAAGATAACTAGTTGGGTGAATGAAGGGAATGCAATGGATATAGTGCATCTGGACTTTAGTAAAGCTTTTGACAAGATTCTACATGTTTTTTTCATAACATATTGGAGAAATGTGGACTAGACAAAATGACTACAGGGTGAATGGACAACAGAGTCAATAGTTGCAAGAAAAGGGTAATTATAAATTAAGTTGGAATGGCAGCAGCTTTAAGTAGAACCCCACAGGAATCTGACCTGGCTCCAGAATTGTTCAGCCCGTTTACTAATGATTTGAAGGCTGGATTAGAGAGCTTCTTGAGCAAATTTTGCAGATGACAAAACTGGGAAGGATCAGGAACACATTGCAAGAGAGGAGCTCAATTCAGAAGGATTTGACAGAATGGGTAGTTGGGCTGGAGTTAACAGGGTGAAGTACAGTGCTGGCAAATGCAAGGGGTGATGCCTCAGGAAGAATAACCAGAAACACAAATATGAAATGGGTGACACCTGGCTGGATGGCAGTACTGCAAAGAAGATCAGGGATAGTCTTTCTAGATCATAGGCTCAATATGTAGAGATCTCTAGAATTTAGGCCAGAAATGTGCAGTGTGACGGCTTCTTTAATAATGGAATTTCTTCCATGTGCCCCCTGCTGCTGATTGGTGGAGGGGTCCTGTCGCTCGCTGCTTGCTGCCTGTGCCTGATAGCTGGGAGGCAAAAACTGCAGCATATTTAAAACTACAGTTTTTTGCTTCCCAGCCATCAGGTGTGGGCAGCAAGTGATGGGGCCCCTCTGCCAATCAGTGGTGGGGGGTAGGAGGGGCACAGGTAAGTTTTAAGATTAAAGAAGCCAGCACTCTGTTCCTCACTTCATTGCAAAGATCCCTGTCAATATGACTCTGCAGAATGACAGCTGCACAGAAGGCAAATGTTGTTTGAGGTTGCATCAATAGGAGCATTAGGTGCAAGACACAGGAGGTGCTAATGCCAATTTACTTAACACTGGTTAGGTCTCATCTAGAGTTGTGCACAGTTTTTTGTGCTCCACATTTTAAAAAGGACATGGAGAAATTAGTGTCCAGAGGCAGGTGACAAAAATAAAGGGTTTGGAAGGCAAGTCATGTGAATAGAGGTTTGAAGGAAATAGGCATATTTAGCTTGAGGAAAAGATGCATAAGAGGGGACATTTTAGCAGTCTCTGAATATCCAAAGCGCGACAACAAAGTAGAGATAAAACTTCTTTTCTTTCTTGCTGCAGAGGGGAGGATGCAGACCAATGGCCTAAAGTTGCATCGAAGTAGGTTTAGACTGGATATCAGGAAAAACTCCTTCACTGTTAGAACAATGAGGCAGTGGAATGGATCTGGGGTGCTCTGTCCCTGGCCTGCAGGTATCCCCACAGGTCTGGAAATTTGGTGGTGATGGAGCATTGGTTACCACTGTCCAGCTGCCAAGGTTCCAAGCCCCATGCGGCTGGATCTGTCACAGCCAGGCTGACCCTCTGTGAAAAAAATGTCCCGCATTCCTGCATGGTTGGATTGAGCTGGGGCTTGATCCAGCCATGCGGTAATGGATCAGCCAGGGCCTGAAGCAACTGTACCTGATGTGGTGCTGTACAGGCTGTTTCCGTAGGGCTGGATGGGGCAGTGTGTGGATCAGCAGTGTGCACCAGATTGAGCCCACAGACCTGGTCCAGCCAGGCACTGCTCATGTGCTGAAACCCACGTGCTGAAAAAGTTGAGCACTACTGTAATAGAGTGCCTAGGGAAGTTGTGTATCTTTATCGTTGGACATTTTCAAGAAGAAGTTGAAGAAGTACTGGATGATCTAGATGCCTGTTCTCTACTATGGGTATTTCTCATGCTTCTCAGCTTTGGTTGCCACATGGAGGCAGGAATAATTTTTTTCCTCTCCTATTGCCACATGTATGAGGCTTGGTGTTTTTTGTCTTCCTCAGAAGCATTGGGTGTTGGCTGCAGCCAGAGCTGCCCCTAGAGGTGTGCGGAGCCCAGGGCATATCAGCTCCTGTGGGGCCGGGGGTGGCAAGCAACTGGAGTGTGGAGCTGGCGGCAGTCGTGGTGGGGCCTGTATGGCACTGTCCACAGGACTCCCCAAAGCGCGGGGCCCTGGGCGGTTGCCCCAATTTGCCCCCCCCCCCCCCCG